CCTGTAATGCCTATAAACTTAGCACTTGAGAAGCTGAGGCAGGAGGATCACTGTGAGGTCAAGGCTAGCAAGGCCAGCCAGGGATACCATAGTAAATTCAAGCCCAGCCTGAACTATACAGTAAGACTCTGTCTCAATAAACAAAACAAACAAACAAATAAACAAGGAAGGCATTAAATATTATCCTAATTATTAAAAGTCAAGCTGGGTCAAGGTAGATCATAAACTTGAGAAGACTCCAAAAGTTTCCACAGAGCCAGTTCTATGAGACAAAGCATAAAAATCCCCCCCAAAACATGCCAGTACTTGCCCCTAATTTCAGAAGCAGTTAGTAAAGATGTGACCCAATCACATGATCTCAAACCACAGTCCATCTGTTCAAACAATGCTGCATTATGGAAGCCATGGCCAAAAAAGAGCAGAAAAGGGCATGAAGTTTGCCAACATGTGCAAAGGGCAGCAGGGTTTGAGGAACCATAATTTCACATCACAAGGGCCATCCATAAGATAACAGCATTTCAAAATTCATTTCAATTACACATGAACATACCTGATGCAACACAAAGGTGTTGCATTAAAACAACAGTGTTGAGTGTGGTTAATTTTGAACCCAATCTAGAACCTTTCAGAAGAGGTTGTCCCCCCACTGGAATAAAATTTACCTCCCTCTTGATTATTTTGATCATCTCAGCCCCCTTCCCTTTAATTTCAAAAGCAAAGTGGACAATCTGAAATTCTAGACCTCACCAAGGTCTTTTACTTACACTTTAATTCACTTACACCTTACTTACCCAAGGCCATCTTCCAAACCATTATGAGCCCATTTTCTCAACAAATAAGTACTATACAAGTCCTTTTATTAACAATAAAAAGGATGCTGATCTTTTTCTTGAGGACTTTTAACCTATCATCATTCTCCCTCCCCCTACAGAACTCACTTTTCATAAATTCTGTGAAATTCAAGATCAAATTAACTTAGGGAAGCCAATCCACTAATTCTGCTTCTCATCTCTAAGTCTTTTACATTTTCCAGCATTGTGCAGAGCAAAACATTTGGAATCAGAAAAATGTTTCTATCTCAACCTTGCCCTGGTGCAAACTTGACGAACTCACCTAATCTGAGTTGCGCTTTTTGTTGGAGATAGAGTCACACTGTGTAGTTCAGCCTGGACTTGAACTCATACTCATGGGGATCCTTCTACCTCACCATCCTGCATGCTGGGATTACAAGTGCACCCTGGAATGCATTTTTCTATCTATAAACTGAAGTGATAATACACCTGTGCACCTAGCCCTGGTGGCATTCCACTATATTATTCTCCCTCACTCAACACACTTACATTTTCTTTCAGTTTTGTTTCCAGCCACATATTACAGTTTTTACGACTGAGGAAAAAATTATAGAGGTTAATATTGTACATCCAAACCCCAGTACAAAACAAGGAACCTAACTCTGAACACCAACTTGCCAATCAGTCAATAAAAGCTTTGTTTCTTGCCCTGAAGTAAGCCCTGGGATAGTTAGGGGCACAACTTAAACAATTATAATACTCATTAAATTCTCCTCCCTGTCTGTCTGAACTTAGCCATCCTTTAAAGTCAGTTAAGTCTGAAAGTGCCCAGCAAGTCACCTCCAGTCACTTCAGCCTACAAAATTTCCCTTTGAATACTAATGGCCTCTCTACAGGAGTAGTATGAAAAATATTTAACAATGAAAATAAAGTATTTAACAACTGGCCCTGCAAGGGAAGTGACCAACCAAAAAAGATATTTAACCAATCAAAACACAAGTGGCCCAATGAGAACTTCTAGGTGAACGCCAACCTCACTTACTACTAACAATACAAATTAACAGCCTCAAATTCAAATACGCAGTTTCTCATTGGACCTTCACCATCTCATGAATTAGGCAAAGTAGGTGTCACCCATTTTCTACAGAACTACAGGTGAATTTGAGACTGATAACCAAATCAAGTAACTACTTCTTTTATCAAACCATACAACTTTTCCTGATCATATACAGAGAATTATAAAGTACTATTGCATAACCTGTACTTTTACATAAAACAGTAGGACTGCTCAGTCAAACAAAATTCATTTACTCAACAAGCACTCATGTAGAGTAAAACAGAAAACACAGAGCTAGGTTCTGAACCCATAAAGGAAAGAAAAGACATGACTCTTGCCTTCTGTGTACCTCATATATGTCCAAACTATATTAAAGTAACAGTGGAAGCTGGTAGAAGTAAACAATACAAACTGTAAGTGCTACACAGTTCAAGGAAGTAAAGAATTCAAAGAGAACTAAACCAATAAAGAAAGTCAGGGGAAAAAAAACTACTCTCCTCCATCTCCTACAAAAGGCATGAAATTAAATTATTCAGTGAAAAGGCTGAACAATCAGGAACCAGTGGGAAAACAGAAATCAATGGATTACAGTAGTGAGAAATGAGATCTCTGTTTGGATACTCTGAGATGACCCTAATCATAAGCCTCAAGTGTGCTCTAGGCCAGTGATGGCGAACCTATTAGAGACTAAGTGCCCAAACTGCACCCCAAACCCCACTTATCTATCACAAAATGCCAACACTACATTTCAACCTGAAAAAACAACTGTTATCCAATGCCTGGCTGCTGGGATGACTTGGCTTGCATGCTGACACAGAGGGCTCTGCATGCCTGCTGCAGGATGTGTGCCATGGGTTTGCCACTACTGCTCTAGGCACTGACTACAAATGCAAAACCTTGTAAACCCTTTACAAGGATGGCCCAGGAAGATTAGTTTGGCAGTAGTAGCTCATGGAAAAACTTAGATGTGAAACACTGAAAAGCAACTCAGTTTGGAAGATAACAGGCAGGACTAAGATGATGGCTGCATACCAAGAAAGAAGATTTGGATTTTAACATGTTTTCAGAGAAAAAAGTTGTGACACCACAAAAAGGAGGTAAAAAAGCATTTTCACTGGGATATAGACATAGCAGTACTAAGCTACAGGGCAGGGACAAGCAACTAACTTTCCTAGCAAAATCTATGTTGGAGAGAACAGAAGCTGGGCAGAAAAATAAAAAATTGATACACAATAAGGAACAACTGAAAGTCTTAAGGGAAGAGGGAGGGAGGGAGGGAGGGAGAGAGGGAGGGAGGGAGGAGCTTCTTCAGAATGTATGAAAAGATGGACTGAACAATCAACACAACTAACCAGGGCATGCAAACAAGGTGAGATAGCCTGGGCTTCCAGTAATACAAGCATCCACCCCAGCTTGGTAAACTGCCGCTGTTGTATCCAGGGCACAGACTTTGCAACATTCTGAAATACAATTAAGTCTGCTACATTTACTTAAATACATGAACACTTTTTTGCCCGACCCTAGGTAGAGGAGAGTGATGAACTATGTTACTCAAGTAGAGTGTGAATATGTTTGATGCATATTGATTCTCCCACTTGCCTAGTTATCTTGACTACTTCCTTAACCCAAAGTCAAAAAATCCATTGTTTCTTTTAATGCAGACACATGTGAAGGGACTCAGAAATGTGCCAGGAATCAGAGACAGGCCAATTTGATACTCAAATTGTGGGAGCTAAATTTAAAAGTGAACAATAAATAAATATCAATTGCTCATCAGACAACCGAGAAAGAAAAATGAGCGATACTAATTTAGTGTATGTATCAGGCAAGTGTATAGATTTTGGAAACTGCCTTAAATGTAAATCCTAACTTCCGCATTTAGTAATTGATCTCTCCTGCACTTGTTTTCTCACCTAAAAAATGAGGCAAATGCCATCAGCCCTGGGTTGAGTTGTGAGGATTAGATAATGTACTTTGGTGTACTTTACACATTTACATTGTATAAGCTCTTAATAAAGAGCAGCTATTAGGATTAATAATAATTGGCATTTCCAGTCCTAAGGGGTTTTTTTTAAAACGTTTGCTATACAATTTCAGAAACAGAAATGTAGTTTCACTGTATTTTAGTTGCTAATGTGGAGACTCTATATTTCAGTTTCTCGTGTTTTAGCTTGGTCACTAACAAAGTTTTTTACTCTTCCCTTCACCAGAGTAGATGACAACCATTTTATCACAACCTGATTTAATATTTTGCAAAACTGCCAATTCTCCCTTGAAAACTAGCCTTACAGACATCTGATTCTAACTCCTGTCACTCAAGAAAAGAAACATGACGAGCAGCGATGTTCCTTCGAGGAAATAAAAGCATCTTAACAATTCACAGAATCGTTCCCATTCAAACATTCCAAACCCTGCAGAGTGAGCAAACGTTCAAGTTTCTACTATAAAAACAATCCGTAGCCTTCTGGTTGCTGGACTCACTTCAACACTTCCAGACTCAAGAAAGGAGAAACATTCCGCGCATCTTGGTGCCTCTTTCTCACACAAAGCTTCGCAGCTCCCCTTTCCAAAGCCCGCCTAGCTACAGAAGCAGCCCCTTCTAGCAGGATCGACCCGGCAGGCGACACAGCCCAGGCCAACACGGTTGACCCGGGGTCTCGGCCGCACGGAGCCCCCTCCCACCTCTTCGGGAACCCCCCGGGCTCAGTGCCCACACCCGGCCGGGGAATCCGCCACCGTCTCCAACCCCGCCCTGAGACCCAGCAGCCCGGGGCACGGCCAGCTGGGAGCGGGGGTACCCGGAGCAAGGCCAGTCCCCGCCGGCCTCACACCTCGGCCCTCGCCCGCTCACGCCCCCGAGAGCAGACCCCGACCTCGGACGGCTCTGACCGCCGCCGCCGCTGCCGCCCCCACGGAGGCCGGAGCGGGGCCGCCTGGCGCGTCCACGCGCGCTCGGACCCACGTCCCCGCCCGCCTCTGCTCCCCGCCAGCGGCTCGCGTAGCGCCCGCCGGGACCTGAAAGCCCGGCCCGGGCTCCGAAGCCGCCACCTGCGCCCCCGGCCCCGCGCCATGTTTGAGAAAGAGCAGGAGTGAGCCAAAGGCCGGGCCCGGCCCGCGCGCTCCACCACCACCACCCACCCGCCACCGCTTACTCTTCGCCCCCGGGAGCAGCGTCGTCGCCGCCGCCACCAGCATGAGGAGAAGCAGCTGGTGACGCGGAGCAGCGGCCGCCGACTCCATGGTCCCGCCGCCACCTCTTGTGGCCCGGCCCGGCCCGGCCGCCGCGTCGCCTCACCAAGCCTTGCCTCGCCCCACCTCGCCGCCGCAGAAGCGGCCTGGCTCCGGCCCTTTGTAACTGCTCCGGGGACGCGCGCCCATTGGCTGATGGGCTCCCGCCGGCCCCGCCTCCCGCCGGCCTGGAGCGCCCCAGCGGGACCCAGCTAGGAGCCCCGCCCGCCGGCCCGCCAGGAGGCCAATGCGGAGCTGCGGGCGCTGGGCGCTGACCACGCCCCCGCACCCCGGGGATCGGGCTTCCAGACCGCTGTTCTGACTAGAGCTGGGCTCCGCTGTCGCGTGGGGGCAGGGTCTGACCGACTGTATGTGAATTGCTTTGAAAGAAGCCTGCTGCGGCTCGATGGCTTTTTTCTTCTGCCTCCAACCCCACCGACCTGAACCCCCAAGCCATCCAGATCCCCAGTATTGGCAGGCCCCTACATCTATCCCAACTTTCCCTCTCCAGACCCACGTCTCAACTTTCAGCACCCCCCTCAAGAACTTCGGTGCCCCTCACAAGTGCCCCAGTCCACAGTTTCTTCCTGCTCTCAGGCCAACCTAACACCCCTGGTCAAATTCCTGGCCCAAAACTCATCAGATCCCAGCCTAAGACTCCAGATCCAGAGCTCGCACACGCACACGCACACGCACACACATACACACCCGTTAGTAGCCACGGGTCTCTCCACAACAGACGCTGAGTAGGATCCAAGCCACTTCCCTCCCTTTTTCCCTTTCTCACACCAGGTTGGAACCCGAGAGTCCCTCACCCCCACCCAACAAAGGTGGATTCCCAAAGGGGCGGACGCCGAGCAGTCATCTTCACTTTGAGCTGTCTCTGACACGCCTATGTAACAGTTCTGAGGTGTCACTAAAAACCCAAATAAATTCAACTACGTTTTCATTCTGAATTCCTAATTTACTGTGAGACGCTCCACCCACCTTTCCTCTGGGATGCCAAAACGAGCTCCAGATTTGTAATTCTTCCTGTCAGACTAGCCTGTCTTCAGACACAAACACAGCCTAGGGGACTGCTACATAGCACGGGAGAACGTTTTTCCGCAGAACCTTTTAAGGAGAAAATTTTATTTTCTGTATGATTTGAACTCGGAATTAAATAAAGCTTGGTAGCTGGAATCAACCAGTGCTTGGTATCGATTGGCAAATTACTTTAGAACTCCTCTCTGAGCGTTTTATCCACCTGCAAGGACTTCCTTTAGTGAGCTGTAAAGAGAAAGATGGGGGACAGGACCTGGCCCTGCTGTTTCCCTCATGGCTAGGACACTTTCTTGATCAAGCAAGCAGTTAGCTTTTCTGTTTGCAACAGGCTCAGAGGGTGCAGCCTGCTTACTGGGGCTGGAAGGCCAGCAACAAGCTTTCCTCTGGCTCAGGCTCACCAGGAAGGAGACTGTCTTTTTGCTGCTCAATTCTCAGTATCTTACAAAAAAAATAAGAGCTCAGGAGATTTTTATTGTATGAATGAATGAATGAATGATTCGTTTCAGAAAGTTTTTCTCTGCCCATCTCTAAAATGCAAATAGTAATAGTAGCTATCCATATTTAGAAATAAAATGGATTGAACCCCATATCTTTCAACCCCATAAATGATGTAATGTTTCTAGAACAGTGTCTGAGACATAGTAAATATTTAGTTCATGCCATTTCCTATCTCCTTCCAGCTCCGTATGACCCTAATCAGTATTTATGTTCATTTTCATCCAGGACTTTGTCAGTGTGAGGATCTGTTCTATGACATACCTCCAGTTCCTCAACATGTTCTATGGAATTGAGTATGTTCAATAAGAAACTGAGGAACAGGAACAAGAAACAGACTATTTTTAAATTTTATCTTCCTGGTATTAGGAGGAAATTTCCATGAGCCACAGATCCATAAATAAACTGTGATAGAACAGAACAATAAATTCTAAGTTTAAATCCGTGGCTCTCAGGCTTTAAAGTGTCTCCAAGTCATCTTCAGAGCTTTGACTAATGCAGACTCCTGGATCTGGCTCTAGGAAGTTTGCTTCAGTCCCTCTGGAGGCAGTCACTGCAGGACTCTGCATCTGTAATTACTACCTCAGGTCAGACTTCTGCCTGTGTCACCAGGCCCACTTCAAAAGACACTGGTTTACTTAAAAGTCAGCAAATAGGAATGAATGAGTCTATTTGCCTTTTGAGAATGGTTGGGCATGGAGGGGTGCCTCTGGCTTTGGAGGGCTGCACACTCTGGTTGGGATTCTGGCTCTGCCACTGACTCTGGAGATCTGTGAACACTGATCTTTCTGAGATTTAGCATACCCCAGAGTGAAGTAGGATGACGCCTATGTGTTTGTTGTGAAGTCTAAATGAACTATTGCACATAAGGAATCTATAATAAATGTTCATTCCCTTCACAGTCTCTATGGGTTCTCAAAAAGGCTTATGAGTTATTCACTCCAATGTCCTGATTTAAAGGGGAAGAAACTGAGAATCATCCCCCAGAAAATCAGCTGCAGCTCTACCATTAGGAGACTCACTCCAGTGCCTTACTCCCTGCACAAGGCTACCTCTCAATCTTTATGCTGAGTACATTCTTGCTTTCCTTTTGAATTATTCCCATAAGTAAGATGCTCTTTCATTTTATTTCTGCCTAGAATACAGTTGCAATGCTCAGAATTGCAACAGCCTTTTGGAAACATAAAGATGACATCTGAAACTAGGGATAGTAGAGAGAAAAATAGAATCTAAACCCTTGATAAATTCATTAGCAACTGCACCAACTTTCAAATGTTTATTTCTTATTATTTGAGAAAAATAAATCTTTTTTTAAACTCTAACACCTTACTTCTAGTCATAGGCCCATTCTATTATTATATATTTTATTTTTGTCCTATTTCCAAACCTACAAGATATTATTGATTTATGCCATTACATTAGCTTTTGCTAACTCTTGGCACTGCTAACTGAATAACAAACCAACTCAGACTTACACAAATTTAGTAGCTAGCTAGTTATGGTGGCACATGCCTATAATCCCAGCACCTTGGGAGGCTGAGGCAGGAGGATCAAAAATTCAAACCCAGCCTGAAGCCAGGCATGGTGGTGCATACCAAGAGGCTGAGGCAGAAGGATTACTGATTTCAAGGCCAGCCTGGGTTACATAGTGAATTCAAGGCCAGCCTCAACTACATATTGAGACTCTGTCTCAAAAACAAACAAACCAGCCTGGACATTTTAACAACTTAGTGTGGCCCTGCCTCAAAATAAAAAAATAAAAAGATCTGGGGAACCAATGTGAAGACCCTGGTTCAATCCCTAGTACCAAACAAAACAAAACAAAAAACAAAAAGCGGTGGTTTAGAATAATAAACATGCATTATTTTTTATGAAACTATGGGTGAGCTAAACAGTTTCCTTGGTCTAGGCCACTTTAAGCTGATCTCAGCTGAGGTCTCCTGTAACAGGCTGAATGGTCTGTAATGGCCTAGATCCACTCATCCAGGCACTATTCATATTCCAGCAGGCTGGCCTGGGCTTTTTAACGACAGTTCAGAGGTCCAAGATAGTAACAGAAAGTATACAATACTTCATCGTAGGTTTAAAATAAGCACATTATCGGGTTCACTTCTGCCACATCCCACTGGTTTAAGTAGGAATTAAACTGAGCCAAGATTCAAAGGGTGGGGGTGAGATTATAATATATATATTTTTTGGTTTTTATCCAGGGTTCCTTGTTTCTTTTTCCTCCAAGGTAGGCCATAGAATCTAGAATTTCTCTTCTCCAAGGCTAGTTATTGAAAGTCATCTTTCCAACCTTTCTGTCTTGGAGCAGCTGGCCATAAAGAAACCCTGACCTTCCTTGCCTGATAGCAGATCATAAGACCTGCATTTGAGGAGAAGTCTTGCCTCATACCCTCATGGAATAAATGGTGCCGAATCTGAACAGTCCTTGCTGGGTGTCCCCACTCAGTCTGCTAATATTAGAGCATGACCTTTTTGTTCAATCATATTTCTACATAGTTGTCCACATTTCAATCACACTCATGCCATGAAGCCTTATAAAAAGTCAAAATGACTGTGTTTGCAAAGTTTCTCTGTAGCAGAACACATAGAGGTTCTTGGGGGAAGGTGCACCTGGAGAGGGCATGCAAGTTCCACGCCCTACCCTCATATCTCAATGTCCTATGGGTCTCCACCTCTGCATCCTTGTAGTATTATTTATGATAAGCCAGCGAACGTAAGTGTTTCCCTCAGTTCTGTGAGTTGCTCTAGCAAATTAGTCAAACCCGAGGCGCAGTTGGGAGAACCTGGATTCACAGCCAATTGGTCAGAAGCACAGGTAAAAGCAACCTGGGACCTGCAAATAGCATTGGAAGGGGTAGATGGGAATCCTGGGGACTGAGTCCTCTCCACCTGTGGGATCTGACTCTATCTGCCAGCAGGTAATGGAAGAATTGAATTAAAGGTGCAGAACTAGAGAGTCGCTTGGTGCATAGAGAAACCCCCCACCCCAATGCCTCTGGTGCCAGAAGTGATCTGTGTTTTAAAAGTGTAGTAGAAACTGAGGTGGCATTTACTTTTTCTTTTAATGCAATGGGGAAATCAACTTCATGTTTTAATAGAAGGAGCTGCAAAATCACACTACAAAGAGGCACGATTATGAAGAGAGGAATAAGCATGTCCACTTTCCCAAATAGTTTTTACCACTTTTTCCTAATTTTTCTTTTTACCTTTCAGACCTTCTATCATCATTCATTTTTATTCTGTCTGAAGTATATCCTTTCAAATTCCCTTTTGTGAGCATCTATGAGTGCCAGTCTTAGTTTTTGTTTGACAGAAAATGCTTTTATTTAGACTTCATTTTTTTGAATAATGTTTTCATCAGGCATAGAATCTAGGTTGATAATTGTTTTCTTTCAACAATCAATACTATTTCTCTGTCTCTGCCTTCCATTGTTGTTAATGTGAAATCAAATAACAGTGTAATGGTTTCTCCTTTTTAGGCAATCTGTCTTTGCTTTCTGAATATATGTGACTATTTTTTAGAGCAGTTTTAGGTTCACAGCAAAATTGAGTTGAAATTATACAGAGTT